GAGAGGTTAACTTATTAAAAATTTCTTTAAATTTTAAAATTTTGATTTTTATATATATTTACTATATAAAACTAAAAGAAAATTACTATTTGTACACAATATATTTGAACACAGATATTGATTTATATAAATGAAAAATTAAGCTTCTACTTTGGGTTAGAGTAAGGGAGCATTTAGGATTTGAGCAGATTATAGCATATATCAAATTTTCACAAGGAATTTTTTTATTAGAATCCAAAAGGTGGTTTCATAAATGAAATTTTGAGATATCAGTAATATTTCAGTCTTGGATATTACCAAATTTGGATATTACAGATTACCCCTTTTTTGTATGATTAGAAAATTCTCGAGACTTCTATTTAAGTCTATGATGAGTCTATAAAAATCCTTGAGGCTAAATTTACACCAATCACCGTTTGTTTTCTTATTTGATAAACAACTATCTTTTAAAGCCATTGGGATTATAGCGGATTCTTAGACTACATAGTCATAGAACAATTTATATTAAAATTAATTCAAGGGTTTATTATTAAATGATTTTTTTTTTTTAAAAAAACAAAAATACTATATAAATCGGTTCTAGAATAGTCTTTTACTAATTGTTCGAAGCGTAGCGAGGACTCTATGTCTACTCCATTTCATGCAATGTCCGTTAACAGCAACCAATCAATTTTTCATATCAGATTACACTGCATACTTTAGCAGTCAAAACAAAAAAAAAAACAAAAAATATGTGCTTTCCAATCAGATTGTTGTACTCGGTTGTATTTATTTTTTCTTTTTCTCTTATTCCACGTGTAGGTTTAATTCAAAAACTTATTGCTGTACAGCGCGAACCATAGTCCCCCCACATTAAAGTATCCTCTATAAAAATTTTTCATGAGATGCCCGGGTACTTTACAGAATAAATACCTAGGTATTAACTATGTAGCAAATATCATTTTCATGTAAAGTGCACCTCATATATAATACCCGGGTACTAATCAGATTTAGCTGTGGTATTACGGTAATTAGAGGAGTTCTCAAATAAAATCTTCGTTTATACAGTCAGATAAAATAGAGACCGTGTATAGAGACTTTGAACACTTGGTATAAAGCTTTAATATAAGAAAATTTAAATTGACTATTGTGTAAGCAATATAATATTCACTTAGTATAAGATAGTTTTTGCTTTGATTGTATTTGTATAAATACTACTGTACTAAAATAGATTCTGTAGATAAAAATTAAAAACTTTAGTACAATATTAAAAAATTACATACTACTGATAATACTGATTAATTTGATAATATGTAAAATTTCATTCTTTATTACAGTATTAGCATAATAAAACTTATAATTATACAATGATGAATAGTATTATTTTAGAACGCTATCCTTATGATGACCATTACTGTCAAATCTTTCTATGCATTATATCTTTCTAAATGCGCATTAGTTCTCTAAACGCAATACTTGTTTTCTAATGCTGCCTATATTGGTATAATGTAACTTTAGTATATAGTCTATAAGATGCACTTAAAATTTGGTGATTAATCGCTTAATTAAAGCAAAAAAAATTGATTGATCATATAACAGTTAATAAAAAAGCAAAAAAAAAATAATGATATCAGTATTATTTGATTGCCTAAAAAAAAAAAACCAATAAAAGGGATAATCACTTTTCTGATCACGTTATAAAAAATCATTCTTAATAAGACGCTTAGTGAAAAAAAAATTGTTCGTTATTCGCTTGAAAAATAAGCCATTATAAAGCATTAAAAAAAAAATGGAAAATCAAACGTATTACTCCGCATCTCCAAATGATGAAAATAAAAGGTATCGCGTTTAGTCGCAAGAATATATGCGTAAAAAAAGGAAATCAGAAACTGCAGAAGAACGTGAAAATCATTTGAAAAGGGAACATGAGCTAAAACGTTAAAGAAGAATGAAACGTCTGTTAGAGAACAATAGTGACCCGAACCAAGATACTAATTTACTGCACGTAGAATCACCCCCTGTTAATGTTGAACAGCAGCTTCCTGAACCTGATCGAGTTCTTTTACAAAATTTTCATGCTGAGATTAATAAACTGGTGAATAAATTATGTTCTATTTGTAAAGAGTACTTTCTATTGGTTGAGCTCATAGAGCAAAGATGTCGTTGCTGTTATTATGATAAAGGTGTCATAAAAAAATTCTCAAAAGAAAACAATATGGATCCGGGTGATGTACCAGAAAAATTAAAGGGGCTTACTGAGATAGAGGAAATGCTAATCGTATAAATTTTTCCTGTCATTTCAGTTTATTGTCTTTGTGGAGGTCAGTATTCATACCATGGTAATGTTATCAACTTTCCACAGGATGTAGCAGAGTTCATAACTAGACTTCTCGGCATCCATCATCATTGGATATTCTTGTCGTACGTTGTCAGTCTGCAAATAGTTTAGCATTTAAAGATTTTAATGTTCGTTGTGCTAAGGTCTCTCGTGCGCTATATTGGTTAAAAGCGAACAATCGTTATTATGCTAATATTAACATTGACAATGAAATATTACAGTCCTTACCTGACAATGGCCCCATTAATAATCAGCTGCCTCAGCTCAAAGATGTGGAGGGTGAATATTTCGATAATAACAATGATGATGCTGAAGAAACTATTACTAGCAACTTTGTTCCTGCACCTCTTCCTTCTCCTAATGAAGAACATGCTATTGCTGATATCCTTAGTCGAATGCAAGATAATAATATTCATCTCATGTAGTCGAATATAAATGGAAATCTTATTAATGAATTCCAAACACCTGGGTATATTGCATGAGCTTTTCCCACTTTGTATCCAACTGAAGATGCTGATTTTCAGTCTGAACATATCAGAAAAATTAAGCTGGCCGAATACTTCGCACATTTGCTGAAATACAAAGATGGTCGATTTGCTCACCACATTTGGTGGCGGTATTTTGCGCTAAATTCGCAGATGAGGTGGAGAGCACTACAAGAAGGAAAAGTGTACGCTAAGCAAAGTTTAAATGGAGAACAGCTTACTATTGAAGAAATTCAAGAGATGCTTGATAATAATAGTTATATAGCAGACAAAATTCGACAATTTTGAAACAAAAGATGGTTTGAGCTCACAGACATGATTAAGCAATTAGGATCTCAGGGGATGATCTTTTTCACTTTCAGTGCTGCTGATCTACATTGGCCAGAACTTCATGAACTTATGCCACATAATGAGAACCCAGCAACAGAACAAGAGGTGAACAAACAAAGATGCCAAAATTTAATTGACAATCCACATATTGCCACATAGTTTTTCGAAAAACGCTTTAAAGTATTTTTAGAAAAAGTATTGATTCCTAAATAGAATCTCGAAGACTAGTAGTATAGGTTTGAGTGGCAACATCGTGGTAGTACTCATGTACACGGCATTGAAAAAATACAAAATGCACCACTTAATGAATGGGAAAAAATGAAAGAGAACGAAGAGATGATGAATAATGTGGTGCAATATCTGAATTCATTGGTCACTACAATTAATCCCAGACTTGATGCACCCATACCTAATCGTCATCCTTGCCAGAAGCAACACGCTGAGATATGATGACTTGCAGGATTATGTGGAATTAGTTAACAAACTGCAACGACATACGTATTGCAGTTCTTCATATTGTCTTTGAGTAAACAAAACAGGTCAACAATATTGCAGGTTTGGATATCCTAAAGAAACCACAGAAGCCACATACTTACGTGATGACAATGGCCAACCTGAGCTTATCACAGCAAGAAATGATTCTTACATTAATCCACATAATCGACTTCAGCTTCAGGGTTGGTGTGCGAATATTGATTTAAAACTAATTCTCAACATGAAAGCTGCTCTACAATATATATCTAAATATACAAGTAAATCAGAACCACGATCTGCTGCTTTCTTGGAAATATTAAATCAAATTATTAGTAATAGTAGACCTGATGATTCATCCTTTGGCATATTTCAAAGATTATTGCTACATACTATTGCAGAGCGTGATATTTTCGCACAAGAAACGTGTCATATCCTTCTCAGCATTCCCCTCTACCACTCGAGTCATCGATTTATTAGTTTAAATCTTAACAAAGATGCTTCAAGATGGCTTTGCGGCACTGGAATTGATAATGAAACAAATTTCTCAGTGAATAGTGAAACTGGACTAACTGTACAATTACCTCTCCAGAAGTATTGGAGTCGACCCATTGAACTTGAGGACCTTTCACTTTTTTAGCTTTATCTAAAATATAATTTTTGGAATGGTCAGTAGAAACAATGCAAGCATGAAAACATCGTACGTATTTGGCCACGACCATCATCTCAGTGTAATGAACCTCAATAGGAAGATTTTTGTTATGTAAAAGTTTTGCTCCATGTCAGTCATCATAATCTTAATCAATTAACTGAAAATAATACTACTTCGTGGTCAGACCTCTTTAATAAGTACCATGCAGTAATTGAAAATGAGCTAATTGATTTACTTGGCCCCCTGTAGATAACTTGGAGAATGAGCTTGTCAGTGAAGAAAGTGATAATGAACAAAATGATGAATGTGAAAGAGAGTTACTGCGTGAATAGATGATCCTATCAGGGATAGGACCAAATGCAATTATTAAAAGCTCTTCTAATTTAGGATTACGTGACATAGATCAAAATTATGATTGGGTTGGCGATGTTATACGGCGTCATCCTACTTTAAATTTTACAGAAATGGATAGCTTCATACAACAAGCCTGTTCTTTATATACTATTAATGACGATAGCTTAGTAATCAATAGTGTTGTAAATAGCCATATATTAAATAAGAAACAAATGGCAATATTCAAGCGAATTGAGTCTCATTACAGCACCTTGATAACAAATCCTGGCCAAGTTGAACCACTCAGGCTTATAATCATGGGAACTGTGGAAACAGGAAAATCACACTTAATCAAAATTATTCAAGGCTGTCTTCAAGAAATGGCAAGAAATTTTGATGCTAACAGCAAATCGTCTGTACTTGTACTTGCACCAACTGGTGTTGCAGCATTCAACATCCATGGGACAACAATTCACTTAGCACTTTCCATACCGATAAGAAGCACTAATTTTGATATAGATGGTGAAAGACTTAAGCAGCTTCAGAAAAGAATGGATAGTATGATCTATTTTATCATTGACGAAAAAAGCATAATAGGGTGTCGGATGCTTGCATTAATTGATATGCGACTACACCATGCATTTCCTGAATATAAAAATCAGCCCTTTGGTAACTGATCTGTTATTCTGGTTAGAGACTTTGGTCAACTTCCCTGGTGCTTGATGAACCTATGTATTCACAAATTTTTTGACGCGATTCATTATCAAATGATGGTATTATTACATATAAACAATTCCAGGAAGTTTATAAGCTTGATATAATTCAGCGTCAATCAGGTGATACAAAAGAGCAACGTAATTTCAGAGACATCCTGTTACAACTATGTAATGGTGATTCTACAGTAGCTGACTGGAAAGTGCTTGCTTCACGCTTTATTGATTCACCAACTGTATTATCTTCAGAACATGGACAATTCTTAGATGCTTCCTATATTTTTCCTCGAAAGGCTGACGTTGATGAACTTAACATTGACAAACTTAAATCCTTAAATTGTCCTATTGCTAGAATAGATGCTGTTCATACAGGTGGTGTTGAAGCATGTAAAGCTAATACTGACATAGCAAAAGGCCTTAAAGTGCAATTACTACTAGCAAGGGGTGCACGTGTTATACTCAGAGCCAATTTATGGACAGAAGTAGGATTAGTAAACGGTTCAATGGGAATTGTTCGAGAAATCATATTTCAAGAAAATTAAGGCCCACCCTATCTTCCCATTGCAGTCCTAATAGAATTTGATAATTATACTGGCCCCGCTATTATAACTGCAGAAAGTAAAAAACTTGTTCCAATACTGCCCATAAGACATAGCTGGGAAGGGACAAAAGGAACTTGCTCACGTTTGCAAGTTCCTATAATCCTCGCATGGGCTATTACTGTATATAAGAGTCAGAGGTTAACATTACAAAAGACTATAATAGATCTTGGGAAAAAGGAATATGCTGCCGGCATCTTATTTGTGGCAATTTCTCAGACCTGTGCTCTCAGAAATGTTCTTTTTAGATCATTTTCACTCAACAGGCTACAGCATGTCAAGAATTGTAAAAGGTTGCAAGAAAGGCTTACTGAAGAAAAGCGGTTAAGTTTCATGATTTCTCAGCAAAATTAAATTTTGTTAATTAGCAAATAGTAAGTTTAAGTCATCTCAAGATAAAAAAAATATATATATATAATAAAGCATAAGAGATCGATTGCTTACTTTTTTGTACTGTACTTCATTAATCAAAAACTTTAAATTACACTAACGCTATTTTTTGAGATAAAAAAATCTATATTTATATGATCGTTATTAATTTCTAATCGGGATCATAGAATATGGACAAACTTCAGTCAGGCATATTACCAAAAATGGGAGTCATTTAAAGCGGGTTTTACATGATCACAGCCAATCAAATTATAGAATTTTGATGATTGTAGGCGAAGCAAAACAAGAATTGAATGTTCAAAGTTTTATGATCAACATTGATCCTCGGAATCAATCTTTTATTTCAATATGTCTAAAGATTCAAAAAAAATTTATAAGTTTACTATTCTTTTCTATTCATATATAACCCAACTTCCAATTCATATAATTGAAACAGAAAGAATCACTTGATCTGGAGGTTGTCTAAAGCGGAGAATTATTACGTGAAATTTAACCAAGCAAATTATAGATCGCCGGCGAAGCAAAACAAGAAAAACCTGAAAAATACAAAAAACAGCAGTCTAAACTTATCTCTGGTAGATTAATTAAAAATGTCGGGAAGGTAATGTTTGCATATATATAACTATCTAAAACCTAATCTAACCTTAAAATAAGATAACCCTAACCCTAAAGTTAATTCAATAAAATATATATTATAAGAACCTACTCCGTTATTCTATACATAAAAAGGGCAATCTACATTGCAAAGAGAAAATATACACAAGCAAATTTATATTAATTGAATTTCTTTTAACATAATTTTAATGAAAGCCTTATTATAAAATTTTAATTCTACAAATCAAATTAATATAAATTTGCTAGGTATATATGTTTTTTCTTAGAAAAAGGTTATATAGTATTATGAGTAGAGTTTGGCTGGTTAAAAAAAATTCATGTATATGATGTTACACAAAACTAATGTATGCAAATAATTATTCAAAATAAAACTACTGCTAACTTTAATTAAGTGCTATAACTAATACTATTAAAAAACAATAAAAGTAAAAATAAATAAAATAATATTTATACAAATTGTATATAGTTTTGTTCTAAGATTGAACTGATTAAGTTAATTGTGTTGAATTAAATATAGCTAAATTATAATTTTTTGATTAATATATAGAGTATATATATAATTAATATTTTTGCTTCGGACATTTATCAGCTCCTGATACCTAGTAATAGATTAATTTCCATATTTGGTAATATCCAAGACTGTATTTTGAAGAAAGCAATAATTTTACATTACACCTAATTGTGCAATCTGATTGGCTTTCTATATTAACCGTGTATATATACACCGTGTACAAATAAAAATGCTCAAACTAAAAATAGTAATTTTTATATAAGTATGGTATAAGTATAGTGGAAATAGCAATTCATAATGGTAGAAATAGTAGTCTCTAAATAAATTAATATTTAGTTAAAATATATGGGAGGGTATTAGTAGAAACTAGGCAAATTGTTTTTAATGAGTTTTTTTAAAATTTTAAATTAATTGACGATTCTCCAGTCAACTGAAGAATGATTATAGTGAAACGTGTCACAGTTCTATATATAAATTACTATAGATGCAAAAGTAGAAATTTTCTAGTGATTGTCCAAAGAAAACTTTTTTTCGTACTAAGTTAATCATCTTTGAGTCTCTA